TACTCTTTCATCACAGAGTGGCACGTTTTCTGTGTTCAGAGTGACGTGTTGTAATTTTCACCCTTCTCTTTGCTGATACAGAGCAGCAAAAGCATAGGAGCATTACCTTTGTCTCATGTGCAAAGACTGTAAAGTGCTGTTTGAATCACTAGACAGTCCACTGCTATTTTTCAATATCCTTAATCTGAAATAGAACAGCAAATTTGATTCTGAAATGTGAACTGTTTTGAGAAACACTTGAGTGAGCACTATGTAATCAGATGACATGCAACAGTCCTCATCTGCACTGCAAAAATAATTTTTATAATTAGTGTAAATAGCTACTACTAACTGCACAAAATTCAATAAAATTTGAAGAACATTATTAGACATTAATAAAACAAACAAAAAAAGGCCAGGTATAAGTATTGAAATTGTCCTCTTTCTGATAAGGAAGGCTTCTTCCTGAGTATTTTTCAAATTTAAAATTTCAGGGGAATAAGACACTGTAGAAACAAAAAATTGATTTCACTGCATCAAAATGGGGCGAACCTTATGCCTTTGTGAGCACCTAGGCTCCAGGAAGAGAGGCACTAGAACTCAGCCCTACAACTGTTAAGGACTGAGCTCTCAAGGGTCTCTTCAAGACCCTGACTTCAGTGCCAGCAGTAACATGAAAATTAGTGTTTTACAAAAAGGAAAGAAGGAAGTTCTAGGTTTCATATGAAATCAACTTTCCCCAGAGCACTAAACATTTTAGTTACTTAAATAGCTTTCAAACTTTATTTTATTCCTGTAGTCTGACTTCAAAGAGTTGGTCTAAACTTTTTAAAAGCAAAGAGAAATCAGTACTTCTAGCAAAATTCTTTATTAATAGTTTCTGTACGTATAATGTCACATAACAATGAACATTATGCGAGTATAAGAGAAAGCCTAACATCACAGTAATCTTCACAGTTCAAACAGTTAATCAGTCCCATTTTGAGGAATACCGGTTGGTCCTCATGCCATAAAATCCATGGCAACGTCAGGTTAAAGTATCTTCAAGTTAAAGTACCTTGCAGAATAAATTTAGGAGCCCTGGCACATGAACTCAAGTGGGATGTACATAATTCATGATGTATATTAGTTCTTCTCAGATTAAGGTAGTGTCTACAACAAAGCTGCAAAGTAAGTACCAGTTTTTATTTAGCATGAAATGAAACTGAGGGAAAGAATGGGAATGCTCTAGGATATGCAGTTAATTAAAAAACGTCAGAATGACAAAACCCCCTCCTTATACATGTGTCTTCTAAGCAAAACTAACACCTTTTGTTAAAGTCTGAGTTCTCCAATATTATTAGCTATTTGCAATTTAAATGTAATATTTAGTCCAGCTAGTTACAGTAAAATTAGTCTCCAACTTAAAGGTTTGTAAAACTTTAACCTGAGTTTTTAATGAAAATGTGAAAGCACATTTTTGTTTTTGTTTAACCCGACTTAAGAGGAGGAGATGGTTGGTTGAGGCCAGCACTTGTAGCAAAGGTCTTTCAGCTTAATCATGCTGGAGAACAGGGGAGATGTGATCGCATCCCAGCCCTGTGCTCAGCACAGCTAAACTTTGGTTTAGGGTGCCTTGGGTTGCTCGGCTGAGTCCAGTCTAGTAGAACGTTCTATAAACAAGTCAAACTTTGCATATTTCTTGCTTAATGAGATCATAGATTTTCACATCAAGATCCAGATAATTCAGATACCTGTAATAAGGTATCTAATGTAATAAGGAGAAAGGGTGAGAAACCTTAAAAACCTCCTTGAAAAAACCTTTCTTTTAAATGAAAGGTGACTTAGTGAGGAGGGTCCCACTTGCTTAATTGTAGTATTTGAGCAGGGCAAGCCTTACTGGTCTAAAAAAAGTAGTCTTCATTTCTAAAACCAATCCAAAACCCATTGCAAAGTAAGTGGGCTGCCAAGTAGTAGGTATGACCACTGCTGTGATGCCAAGCTTCCTCAAGATTTGGGGTTCAAATTGGAGAATCTGAAAGTCTGCTGTTCTATTATTGTAGAGGATACCTAGTCTTTCTTTTACACAGTAAAATCTAAAGCTCTAAAGCTGTTGCTCATATTGCAGGAAAGGGGAGGGTTCTTAGGCATGCCAACCCAGCTATTTTACACTGGTCTTGAAACTACAAAACAGCAATGACAAAAATTTGCACCTCAAAATACATGCATCAACCTTTCTTCTCAAAAGCAGACAGAGCCCAGAACACCCACAGTCTTTTGAGATTTGAGATAATAGTGCTTTTTTACTGGTACCATTTTCTACAACCCTGGTTGTTCAAAACTCTGGTTCTTGCATGTAAGTAAAAAAGAACAAGAGTTCTCCTGAGGAAGGGCTTGTGGTACACACAGCAGCATCTCTTCTCTCCTACTTTACACTTCCCACAGGTACCCACACTATGAGACAGCTTCAGAACGTGAATTTTATGGGTGGTGTCAAAGAACACAATCTCTGAAATATGTAAGAAAATGGTGTCATTCTAAGTGCCAGAATATAGAGGAATCAAACCCAAGTACTGAAAATTCTAATTTCAAAATTTAGTTTGGGTTTGCTATATCCACCTCAGAAGGCAGAGAGTCATGCCCTGTAGCAATGTGAGAGAACACTCCTGGCATTAATTATTTTTTTTAAAGGGGTAAGGAGTTAAGCATTTCAGAGAAAGGAGAAATTAATTAGTTAGTTCATTTTAGCATACTTCCAAGTCTTTTAAAACATTTATTTTTAGAACTGATCATGGGAATGTGCATTTACATCCCAATTAAAGAAAGCAAACAAATCCCTTTCATCGCAAAGCAAGGACTGGGAACCTTTCCCCCTAAGGTCTTACAAAAACCCTTGGTATGCTCTCGTCACCCAGCCCCTCACCCCTTCCTCCCCACTGCTTAAAAAAAGAAATCAATCACAGAAAAAAAAAATAAAGCATGGCCAGCCACTATACACCAAAATTACAGGGCACAGGCTCTCAACCCCAGGGTAGAGCAAGGGAGCAGCTTAAGATAGCTTAAAATTTGCTTTTCAGGTATAGAACACCTGAGCACCAGAATGTAAAGGAAGCAAAGAAAACAAATTAGCCTCAGACTTTCAAGCATTCCACTACTGGATTGATTAAAAGCAGCAATATTTTGCCAGTAACTGAAGAGGGATCTTCTTTGTGTTTACAAATGAAGTTAGAAAATTAAACATAGGAAAATGGGATAATTTCTGCACAACAGAGGTGAGGTAGGGAATTTTATTGAAAATACTTTTTTTTACAAGTTCTTAGAAATAAAGTTGCTTTTTCTAATCTCACACAAATGGCTGTACCTCAAAAATTCAACTATGCTAATATGAAACATTCATATTTACAGTTAGCCAAAAGAATATACAGAACTGCCATTTTATGCAAATACCAAAGTACCAGATCACAGTGAGATACATTACTTCAGCACTCCCACCATTAGGAACAGGTTAAGATTCAACATACAAAAGAATCTCACTATTCTACAAACCTCATATCTCACAAAAAGGGAAGATTTTTAATAGTGTTGTAGCAAGGCCTCCACTACAGCATCATTTTACAAGTTACATAATGCATGTACTCAGATTTATAACAAAACAAAAATCTGTAATCAAAGTGATGAACAGAGCAGTAATGTTGTCTATTAGCCTTTTATTGCATTTATCCAGTCATTCACTTGTGAGGCTGATGCCAATCCCATTAATTTCCATTCATTTCCAACACCTCAGCCAGGCTGCAGCTCACACATTTCACTAACGTGCAGAGATTTCTATCGGGGCAAACTGGTGGCATCCTGTTGCATATCCTCTCCCTCCCGCCGCCCCTCCTATCACCACACTGAATTCAGTTTCAGACACAAAGACACATACAGCTTCACATATTTACAATTACACTGAAAACCAAAACCAATGAGGTTTATGGACATCCTTTACGAAGAAACCAAAAATCACTGTTTGGATCTCAATGTAGCATAGCAACATTTTGTCCATATTTCACAATTTCCTGAAATCAAAATAGGAAATACTTCTTTTGAAACAGCACCTTAGGATGAAGACCTATGCTCTTTCC